CGTCAAGGCGGATTATGCATTCGTTTGAAATATCTTGAGGTCAAAACGGCTTTTTTCAGGAAGGAGAATATCTCGGCAGCCACTGGATTTATTCCCGTCGATTATGAAATGAATCGAAAAATTGAAAGGATTTTCTGCTTGCGAACGTGAGATGAATTTTTGTATTTAAATAATTTTTAGACTTGAAAATGTTTGTTGATTTTGCTGTTTGTGTGCTTAGCAGCATTAAATAATTCTTCTCGCTCAACATGCTTCTTTTGTATCCCAATAAAGCCGATGTTTTCGAATAAAACAAACCTTCATATCTCTTATTCATATTCAGTGTAGATCTGATATTCTTCTCTCTTTTTAAGACTGTCGTGCATGTTTTTTGCGTTTTTGTAAACCCGGGAATTTCAGCAACTAAATTTTCACCCATCACTTGGACAATCAAGTATGAGGTGAAGGTTCAAGTTTTCTACGTACTGTACCACGTAAAAGGTCTAAGTGGCTGCATAAAATTTATAACTTTATTGATTAAATCATGCCACGATGCAAAGTCTTTCCGTGATGAGAAAATGCAAACATTTTTGGGGGATTTATCGTGCAAGAGTGTTTTAAATTTTTTAAACCTATTTTCACTCTTTCTTGAGGCGATACATTTTTACAACCAGATTCTGCGACAATCTGTCTTCTATGTACTGTATGTTGCTCTGTGAAGTCGAAATTTTAGAAGATCCATCATTGTGTGCAACTTGTTATGTGAATAAAACGAGCATATGGATGCAGGACCTCTGGATACCCGTTCTTTTGGTTTTATTTTACGACTACATCAAGGTGAAGCAGTTCCAATAAGAAGCTACGTCAGCATGCTTGAATCCTAGAAAAAAAAGAAGCCTGAAATAATCAGTATTGTCATGATCAAGAAAAAACCTTGATGAAGCCTTGCCTACGAGAAGGACAATGAATGGGTCATGAAATAAAATGTCTCGAATAAATAATCAAAATCGCATAAATCTGCAGCCAGCAAATTTTTCCTTCGGGTAAAAGCTTGCCTCAGGACCTCGTCATTCTTATTTCCTTTTCTTCATTCCCATGAGTAGTTTGTAGAGGCTGAAGTAGCCCTTTTCTGCGTTGTTTGGGTCATGAAAGAGGGATTGCTGCAAATCTTCTAGAATTTTTGCCTCTTTCTTCTTCTTGTCCTCGTGTCTTCGGAGCTCCTCGGTGAAAGGCGTCATGAATAACAGCATATATTTCTTTGATCGAGGTCGCATCCACTGCTGATCAGTCGTGCTACCTACAAAAAAATAACGTAATCAATACTTTATCATCGAAAGGACCTGAAAGTATAGCAGCGCAATTGCTACTATCCTCAGCTATTGCAGTGAATGTCATTACAATACAATAACATATGCATGGTAAAATCTTTCTTAAATAAATGACATGAGAACGAATAATATCAACTAAAAAAAATTATTGCTCACAATGGATGCGTTTTTCCGGTCTTTATACTGAAAATAGTCGCAATAATACAAAGTGAATTATTTTCACATAATTTTATAAATGTTATAAAGAAGCAGAAGCATTAGCATTTTGGCAGAAGCATTTTTCATAGCCTTGAAAGCGTTGTGTCAACACTATTCAACTGTTTACTCAATCCTCTATCGTTGAACTCATCCGAGGGACCCCCGAAAATTCCCACTTCCGAAATTTTCCAATTCTGGAAACAAGAATTTTTGCTGAGGAGAAGTGAATTACGGAAAGATAAAATTATTGATAATCTGTGCTTCACAGTGTTCCAACAGTACATATTTTAAAATGCCCTTATTCAATGTCTTCAAAAGGATCTCCATATATCCAATAACTCTAGAATTTTTTAAATGCAAAATATTGTACATAAAATCATAAATTTATACGCTCCAATTTTTTAAATTTGAATTTAAAAATAATTTGACCGTATACGTTTTTAATTATAAATTAGAATGATTATAATTTAGGAAAGCCTTTTTATTCAAAATTGATGTCTGCATTGTCTCAAATGTTCAGCTGTTGGGCACAGTTATAAACTATCAGAATTAATCATCATATCCTGCGAAATCCATGCATTCCAGTTTTTCACCTTCATATAAGCCAATTTTCCAAAGATTTAATTTTAAAATGCCCACTATGTAATTTTTTAAAATTTTCACACATGTCCAAAATACTACAGTGACAATAATTTGAGTGCCATAGAATTAGATCATCAAATGTAATGTTGAAAACGGAATGCATTTCTTCAAGAGATCTGATTATAGACTGGAAGAGGTCTATAATAAACAATAAGGTGAAAGCTTCTTTGGTGCAACATCAGGCCAGATATTTTGTCTTAATTTGACCTAGCCCACGAGTTTCCCATTTTATTCATATCAAGACATTCAAAATCAATTATCGAGGGCCTATAAATACTGCTGCACACTGCGTTCATATACAATAGGTGGACAAACTGGACATAGCAGTAAACGCATCACAATTTTGACAATAAATCCCATTGTACGACAACAACAACAACAACAAAATAACCTGTTGGCAGATGAAGTTTTTGTAGTCCTATTCCGGTTTCCATATCAAACAACATCGCATTCCGTGGATGGTCCATTTTCCCGGTCACCATCAGGTTTTCATCATCCAGCGAAGGAACGCTTGTCGCCAACGAAAACGCTAGAGCAATGCAGAATACGCCAAGCGGGAGGTGATTCACCATCTCAGAACTGAAGAGGCAGGTTGTCTGCTAGAAAAATGAGATTTAACACGTAATGTCAATGAGTCACTGCTGTTATCTCGTTCCATGCATAAGACTGCTCGGTAATCCGTGATATGAGACTCTGAACTGTGCGATTCGGAATTAACTTCCGCGTGTGCTGGGACGAAACCCTCGAAAAGTCCGACTCATCATCCACGACGAGACCTCAAATAGGCCAACATATATATAGTGCTTGCTGAGAACTACGAGATGCTTTTCGAGTGTCGCGAAATAATTATCGTGATCTGATTGCGTCAGATCTATACGAACGGATCGCCAACTCATGGAGAACCAAGACAACTGCTGACGTATGGATCACATCCTACCGTAACACTATCCGGGCAAATGTCTCCGTTTTTGTGCGGCAACTCGACTTTAAATGTGTTTCCTTAAATGGAGTCATGCGCCCCTGCAATAAATGAGCATCCCACGGAGCCATGCAAATAACCTCGGAACTCTCAATGACTTCCCATTTCCAGCGGTATAGCTTCGGATGCGAAAGGTTGCCGACTGCATGAATGGATGTTCGTGCGTCATGAGGAGTTTCGGTGGGTTATCGTCCTCAGGAGCTGCAGTTTTGTCAAGTCTGTCAACATGTGCGTTATTAGTTTATTTTTAGTTCCGCAACTCCGCTAGGAACGAATTCAAAATTTAATCAGTCATTCGCGAGTTCAAGCCTGGTAGAGTCTTTAAATTTTCTTTTTTGTATCCCGCTTATGTACTCTGATCCATCTCAGGAGGTTTCAAGATAGATTTTACGTTCAGATTTATAGAGAACAGACAGATTTGGTTTACTGCTGTGTAAACTGAAGAAACGGTGTGACCGTGGGACTCTTCTGCTTTTTATAGTATCCAAGAGGAAGAGATGAAGAATCCAAGACGGTATTTTTTACCGAATTCGAGGAGAACTGACCACTCGCGCAGGGGAACCAAACGTTGATGAGTGCAACCCATTGCACATCGAACGAGTCGCAATCCCGTTGTTCACATAAGAATGTAAGAAGATCCTTCAGAAGCGAGAACGATCTGTTATTCAGAGATAGCTGACGAGGCAATCGTTCGCATTTCAGTTTTTAATGATTCCTTCCTATGCCACTTTAAGACTTGGAAAGACATTTTCCTCACTTCAAAAATTAATTTTACATAAATGCAAAATTTTTCAGATTCTGCGTAATTGATAACGTTTGCATTACTTCAGTAAGAACATGCATGAAGCAACAGAAAATTACTTCCCAAAATAATAGCCTTGGACGAAGAGAATGATGTAAACCAGTGTTCCTAACCTTTTTGGATCTGTCAACTGCCAAATTTCCATAAAATTTGCCATGGACCAGCAAATTTCCAAAAAATTTCTGCAAAATGACAGTTCCATAAAATGTTTATGGGCTCAAAAAAAGTTGCTTGGAAGACTATTATGGCAGGCATTTAAAAAGTTTATGCTTATTTGAAAAAATTAAGAACCAATTCAGCAGCTATACAGTGAAATGTCTTGAAAAAATCAGAAAGGTGGGCTTGAAGAAAGGATTCTCAGAATTTAAATTAAAATAATTTAATTCAGCAGGTGAACATTTTTCTGAAGCATCAAGAGAGAAGCCAATAACTTTCATTTTTCATCAGATAATTTCAACTGCGATTGTCTTTCCAATATCTAAGAAAATATCAACCCTTCATTGCCACTTTCTTCAATTTATTATGCCGCATAAAATGTCATGCGGACCAATAAAAACCTTCTGCAGACTGGGGCCAGTCCACGGACCACGTGTTGGGGAACACTGGTGTGAAACGTGTGAAGTACACAGCACGCTACGACCTTCGAACCAGCCACGGATTCGAACCTTTAAGGATACACGGTCATAGGCAGGAGAAGTGCGAAGGTGTTTTTTCTCTCTGATCCTATCATCGAATCAATTTTTATAGATTGGATCCCCCACACGAAGAGAAAAATTTATTACATTCTTGACATTCAGTTTCCAGTTGGAGCCCAATAAAGTGCACAATAATTTCATGCCATCATGAACGCTCAACAATTTAATTTTACCGCAGGGGTAAAATCAGACCAGCTCGAATGTAAAACATTTTGTCATTAGAAAAATAGAATAAACTACATTTTCCGTTTCTGCAACAAATATACTGAAGTTCTAATAGGCGCGGTATCTTACTTAGGTTACCCTGGATGAACAGCAGGTAATATTCACTGCACAGTTGAAAATCCCAGCAGTAAGAAGATTTTCCACGAACAGAATCATTTATCGTATAAAAACGTACGTGCATTTTTAACCCACGCAGCAATTGGCCACAACTCAGTAAAAGCAGAAGCAAGAAAAATTAACAAGGTGCTGTACAGTAAATCACTTCGAAGACCTGCGATATCCGGCGTTGGAGGAAATCGACAAACTTTACGGAGCAATGGATAAAAAAAGGAAGAGAGCGGCAAGAATGACTCGGCTGCGAGATTCCCTGCGATGAGTCGACGACGAAATCTGTGAAGCCACGAGCCAGATCTTAGCGAAAATCATGCGACCTCGTATGCACCATCAATAGCGCTTTGTCACGAAATTCTTCACATCAACGAGGGCATTGCGTCAAAACAAAATATTAAACGACCACAGAAAAAAAAACAGGCAAGACGCGATCCACAAGTTCAAGGGGTTCTCCGGCATATTTCCTGAGAGCCAGCGTTTAGCCTCTGCTCCAGCATTCTTCCAATTCCAAGATTATTTCTCGATCCAAATTTCTACAAACTTCTACAGTAATCATGACCGGCGCAAAGGAAGAGCATCTTCGCAGACCTGCTACGTTAGCTACAATAGATCAACTCGGAAATACATCATGGAGTTTTCATCGAAAGGCTTCGAACAGGCACATTGGGTGCATCAAAAACTTTCAATTTCTTAAGCGAACGTTTCAATTTGAATTTCATAACTACCGAGAAAAAGCGAATAACTTCCGAAATAAAAACACGAGGTTTGATTGACTACAGTAAGTAGAACAAGGTACCTATTCTGCTTTTCGATAAAAATTCCGCAGTGCTGTAAGCTCCAAGAATATTGTCCGGCTCAATGCTCAGATTGAAGTTTCACGCGCAACCGGCAAAACGTAGATTCGGTCCGATTCAATTTCTCCATCACAGCTATAAAAAAAAAAACTTCATGCATCCAAATTTAAAAAAAAAAGTCCAGAGGCAGACGCTTTGTGAACAGCCGCAGGAGAAACTCCTTCCGAGGATATTCATCTTTCACGGTTAAAATGAAGAAGGCAGTATCATTCATCGCAGTGTGAACGACCCGGTGACAACCAAGAAAACTTGAAGTACCACGAGGAGCGTCTATGCCATCATGCCCCGTTTGAAGCAACGACCTTTTGCATCTTCCAACGCTTTTTCAGAGCACATTTTCTTAAGCTCCCCTCTAATGGAAGAAAAAAAGCGCAGACAGTCAACCAGTGAATCATCAAAAATGGGAATAACAGACAGGAGAAACGCATGCAGTGAAGTTCACTTACTTCACATCCCACGTTATTTCGGAGTAGTTCAGTTTATGATGAATGATGGCTTTCATGCATCTTGTACGTAAAGTCGGAACTGAAACAGAAACTGGCCTTATTATCCTAGAAAATAGGACCTCGAAATCGAGAAGTTTCGTAGGCAAAAATATATGGAATAGTAGACAAGCTATCATCACACACTCTCAAAACGCAACCCTCTCAAAAAATAGGCCACCGACAATAAAACTTACACATATCAAGAATGAAAATATCTCCGTGGTTCTCCAACCCGCGCAATTCAACCTCTCCGTGCTCTTCCTCTGAAGATTCCGAACCCGCATCCGGCCTCGTTCGCGGACTGATGAAATAAAGAAACGATGTGTCAACAACTGTCACATGAAAACACGTCTTTCAAAGTTCACCTCGTTCCCCCGAAGAAGAACACTCGGTTGTCAAGAACACATGAGCTCATTCTTCTTCGCGGAGCCGGGCCACTGCCTTTTGGTTTCAGTTCCACCCAATAATTCCCAGCAACGTTGAACATGAAAAAATCATTGTAATGCTTCTTCTCGATTCCATTATAGCCGCATGTGATGTACAGATTGCCATTGTATTCGACTGAAATCGGATAAAAAGAGAATTCAATCATCTTCATATTTTCAGAGAAAAGTAATGGGAAGGTATGAAAAGTACATTCGGAGTTCCATGACGAACTTTCATCATCATTCACAAGGGGTTTCACGCGCTACGAGTACAGCGAATACATCGCTATTTTTTTTCGTTACATACATACAATGACGAAGTTCATGTCAGATTGATGGGATAAAGACGGTGAAAGACTCTTGCATCATTTGCATAAGATTTCGACGAATGAGAATGCTTATTCCATCATTCAATACTAGGATATGGCTGGTGCTTGGAGAGAAAAAGAGGAAATCAGAGACATCCTCAAGGCTTTGATTGTTAGGCTAAATAAGACTGGGGAAAATTTTGGTATTTTCAAGAAGAAAAAATCCTTGTCTCCATGTATTCAAGATTATTAAGTTGTTTTCCGTGAAAAGCGGAAAATTTTAAATTTTATTTTCACGAGCTGTGAAAACTCTGGGATTAAATCGGGATTGCCTTCAAGAACGATTTTAAAATGCACACTTTGTTCGCGACGAAGAGACTTTATTCGGCATCCATCAGCACGTGAACCCTTCTGTATGTAAACGGATTTACAGTACTGTACAGTATTAAGAATATTTGGTACTGTATTATAATTTCGAATTTCAAAACACTTGACATGAAGACACTTACATGCGGATAAACTTCGCCGACCACGCGGAGAAACTGGTTTTCTACGGGGATGATACGGAGTAACGAGAGTCCATTCTTTTAGCCTCGTATTGAATCGGTACAATTCAGGGTGGTACACATCTCTCCCAGTGTAATACGGCGCGGATTCGTCACTCCGACCTCCAAAAATGTACATGTCTTCTCCAATGGCGACTGCTGAGTGGAAATCTCTTTGAGGTGGGAGTATTTCAGTCTGAAATACACCACAGAAGTACATCAAGAAGAACTCATCTCGGTACACAACAAAAAATACTTACGGATGTTCGAATATAACGCCAGGCGTTCTCATCAAAATCATACGCGTAAAGCTCTTGGGAAAATTGTTGCGCACTATCTTCAAATCCTCCGAAAACGTACATCATGTTTCCTATTACACATGCCGAATGCCCATCACATGCTGGCGGTTTCGTCGATTGACTCTTCAGATCTGGCACCGACCATCGCCGAGTTCCTGCGGAAAAAAATGAAAAAGAGAAGTTGCATTAGCCAAAAAAAAAGCATCGAAATCCATTCAGAAACTCACGAGGATCAAAGCAGAAGAGGGTATTGCAAACGCTTTGGTCATTCCTTCCACCCCACAGGTAAACCTTATCTTGGTATACAACAACTGAATGGCCATATCGCTTGAACGGTAAACTCACATTTCCTCCTTGTCTGACTTCTTCGGAAACCCATGCTGGAGAGGTGTCCAACTTTTCCCACGCCCAGTCAACTGAGGAAACCATGATATGTTATGAATTCGATGAGACTGCCGGAACGTAGATAACAAAGCCTATTCGACACAGGTACTGTGCCGGATTCCCGCGAATGGAAGACCACTTCCTCGTGATTTCGACACTCGAATGATAAGGGTTCATTAACTCTTTTTGAATTCGCATGCAAAATGTGAGTTCCCGGAGTTTTTCAAAAATATTCATCTTCTCTAATTATCATGACAGCATCCAATGACTTCATCGAACATGCCGAAATTGCTCATGCTTAGATTTGCTAATGATCTGAGATCAAGTTTACATCTCAATGACGAATACAGCGCACGAGAACGTTACTGGGAAGCACGGTACATTGGCGTTAGGGACTATTCAGTGGACTCCTCCATCAACATTAGACGAATGGACTTGAAATTATAACTCACGCGTATTGAAGGCATGGACATCAATTCCTTCCTGTTGCGTGAAATTTGCTTCGCTGCAAAATCCACCAAATGAGTATATCACCTTGCCCACAGCGACCGCGGCATGGTTTACACGTTTTGGACCGCCGTCGAGACGGCAAATCCACTCCATTACACCACGCTTCAGTTTACTAGTTTTCAAGAAAAATAGTCACCGACTTAGTACAAGTGCAAACAAGCGCTCGTACGAAACTAATACCCAAATAGACAATCCAGGTTTACATAACCTACGATAAGGAATCGTTCGTGCGGTCTACTATCGCTGACTCGAGTATCAGCACGGGTCACGGCACGCAAAGCGGCATTTTTGAACTTGTGCAGTGAATCAACAACTTAATATATCAAAAAACCAGAACCGAATTTCTTGTACGAGACGGTTTAATAAGCCTGATGCACAATGGATACTCCACGCATCGTTCAATATTTTACCGAAAATGTGCGCTTGCGGGGTTCGCGATCATGTGCATGAGGAAGTACTGCAATGTGAAGGCACAACGCGCAACGCGAAATATCCGGACACACTTTCTCACGATCATATTGAAATCTGAAAATTCAATCCGAGAGGAAATAAATACACATTCGCAATTCAACACCACTGAAAAATATGTACAACACGGAAACTTGAAAGAAACTTTCATGAAACCAAAACACGTTCCACAAGGAGAAAAACATGAAAAATGCTTCGGCAGATTAATCACATAAGATAAACGAGACAAGTTACTGCATCTCTCAGGACGCTGAATACTTCATCGTGAATATATAATTATACCGCAATCGCCTCACAGCCTTCGCATTTCAACTGACTTCGTAACACACAGCAGCCATCCACGAATAGTCCACTGATTCCATTGAACAGAATGTAAGCAGAAATATTGTGGAACGTCTCCTTGAGACTAAAAGACAGCCACATTTATACAAGTTCTCTTTTAAATCTGCTCCTCAATGGAACTGGTTGTTTTCGTCAAAATGCGATCCCATCAGTATCATCATGATCTTCAACCAGCACCTAATTTCATTGGCTTGCGCGTGCGGTTCAGTTTCATCTTCCAGGGTCCACAATTGAAGTTCTCAGGGTCTTCAAAAGGAGGTACGAGGCATTTCTTGAACGTGCTGTTTAACAGGAGAAACTAGAGCAAGTTATTGAGAATTCAAACTAGATTACAGCCAAGTAACAGAATTGTCAACTATCGCACCTCATAATTGTATCGAGAAGTTAAATGCATGTTGTCTTTTATGAGTTGATGGAAAAGTAAATTACTGCATGTTGAATGATTCGCGATCATTTCTTGTATAGCTGATACAGGAGGACGGATTTTCGTGAGGCATTTTTTAGGGTGATATTTACCTGCGCTTACAGCCCAATGAAGACTATGATTTCCAGGATGTGATGAAGACTAGAACTTACGGTCAATTGCGACCGATGAAATGAGTTTCCCCTCTCACCGACGCCGAAGTTTCGCTCATACGATCTGACGCGAAATCACATCATCCAAGACGTTTACTTTTTATTCAGGTGCTGATAAATACTTCCTTTATCGCCGAATACAGGGCATCTCCCCGAGTTTCCTGGATGAATATATGGTGGTAATTTCAGACCGAACACCAATCATATTACGAAAAGGAGGCGTTTTTTTTTGTCTCGTCTCGTACCTCAAATCTTCAAACATAATATAATGGCAAGAATATTTATAGTTATGCATCGGTATCTCCATGATGTGAAAAAAATGCAATGTATAGCATGGAAAAATCCACCTCATGGTAAACGCAAAAATACCTAGATCAGATTTCCGATGAGTATTGAAGTATCTTCATCACATTAATGAACATTTTCCAGCTCTCGAGCAAGAAAATGAATGGGAATAAATTACAGATAAGTCACGCCACGAGACAAAAATATGATGGGAAAGCACGAAAATGATTTAGAAATGAGGTTACCAACTCCTGACCGGAGTATTTCATATTCTTCATTCCAACCAATCCAGAGACTGGAATGAGCGTGTGACTCATGACACTCACGGTAAGTTCACGAGTGGATGATTATATCACGGGAGAGAGAAACAACGTTTCTTCTAATACAGAAAATTTTCCCTTTGGACGAGCAGAGAGAAGAGAGAAGAATGCAGAGCCTTCCGACAGCTCACAGCCGAAGTCTCCCGGGATTTATACGCTGAACGTCGACTTCACGTTGGAGCTGTTCTTCGCCGCCGAATCGGCGTGCGTTTGGAAGTTTATGGACTTGTTGATCTCCAGCCTCTTCTTGATCAAGCGACCGATTTGCTTAATGCGATCTTCCTTGGAATGATCACAAGAAAGCCACACGGCCAATCGATCGCCCTTTCCTCGGACGCTCACGACAGCTCCGTTGACCAGTTCGTTATCGTCTTCGAACGCCTCTCCAACGAGCATCATGCAGATTTCCATCCAGTACTTGTCAGTATCAGCTTTCGACGGGCTTTTATCAAGTTGAATCATCCAGCGGCCTCCGTTCTTATTTTTTGCATCTTCCCAAGCAGGCTGAATGCCTTTCTTGAAAATGCTTCAGAAAAAGAAAAAAGCAGTCAGTTTTCCGTCTTGCATAAAGGCGAAAATAACAGACCTGTAATCGCATCCTTGCGGAAGTTTGGAGCAACATTCGATATGATTGTACAGGGCCCAGAAATCTTCGACGGTTCCAACAGTAGCAACTTCCGTTTGATTGGAGCTCCAATCTTTAGCCTCTCGGTCGTTACGGAAAAACCAAAGAGTCCACGAATTTTGAAGCAAATGCTTCACTTGTACAACGCTGTCCTTCTTGTCTTCATCAGCAGTAGCGATGCTAGAACGGTTATCAACTCGCACTTCCACCATCTTTTCTTAACTGCACCTTCACGTCCAAAAACCAAAACCTCCGCGCAACAAATCGCAGAAATAGACCTACAAACATACATAAATTCGTAAATATTAGATTCATGAAGATAAAATTTCGACACGCACACAAAAAAACTCAAATTATAACCAACTCCTCCATGATTCCTCATCCAAATAAATTCAAACAGAGACCACGACTCAAAAAAGGTTGAGAAGACCGCGAGATGCAAAAATATCACACAAATAATTTGCGACCGCATAATAAAAGCAACAGAATTCCAGCACAAAAATTTAAATATGCGATTCGCGGAATGAAAAATACTTCCAACATATGCTTCGCTCACAGATTACGACCATGCAACTGGCTTTGATGCGTTAAATAGGAGAGCTACACTGTTCAATTATCATGTACTTGACGAACTGCCCTCTTTATCCTCCGAAGGAAGAAGAGATCGTTGCGTGGATAGGCCTGTCCACAAGTTTGAAATGAAGCCCTTTGCTTGTTCAATAGCACCACCTGCAACAGCACAGGTTACTCATATGCAAGCAGAAAATTAATTCTATCAACCCTCACCAACTGCCTTCCCAGTGACGGCCAAACTTTCGTTGATTTTCTTCCCTCTTTCCGTTGTCTGCATATTACTGGAAAATTGAAGAGGGATCAACAAACAATGTCGACTTAAAACATCGGAAACAATCGCCTCCATCTTAGCTGTTCACTTTCTAGTAAGATCGTAACTTCTATGAACACTTACTGTGAAATTTGGGCGAGCTTGATTTTCATGTCAGCCATGCTGACGGAACCGGCAAATGGATGTCGGGCATGGGGTACATTCACAATCTTCGCTTTACGATCCCATAACTGAAAATTTCTTGTTTCTCTCCAACTTGATACGAAGGCCCCGGAGAAAGAGTCGCTCTGCATTTCAGCATTCGCTTGCGAACTGACGGTCTCTTGGTCAACCGTGGCGGCAAGATGAATGAAATAAACCCAAAATGCTTTCCTAACCCAATCGTCGGCGCCTTGCTTCTTGCAGCCAGATGAACAAGTTGAGTCCGGACTAATCGCTCCATCACTACTTTCCGTTACCCGACGCACAAGGTAATCCATGAATCTAGAGTCTTCCGTGCTCAGACTAGTGGTTTTCTTCAATTCCGGGTCCAAGATGTCAACTTTGCCTCCTTCCAACTGGAATGAAAAAAGGTGAACTGCTGGAATAGTAATTCGACAAGATTTTCTTCAAGAGATGACATTCGTTTTGTTTTGTTTTTTGTTTTTTTGTTTCGGCCCTACACTGAGCAGCAAAATCATCACTAAACATTGAAAATAACGTGAGCTACGTGGCTGGACACTAATAATGCATCGGAAAATTGAACCCCAAACTCACCTCCACAATAACGTCCGACAAATGCTTCTTTTGCTTGAACAGGATGTTGGACGCACCGACCACAAATCCTCTGACATTTTCACTTGAAAGTAAATCGACGTAGGGTAAAGCTAGAAACGGATGGCACACGTTGCCTCGCCCGAAAACCGGAAAAGGAAAGCCTGCTTGCTCCAGATTGATTTTGTCCAATATTTCTAGATCAAGGTGAGGTCCATTTTGCGGTTCCAGCGTCTCACTATCTTCCGAAAATTTTCGATCAGTTTTTCCGACGGGAGGAAGAACAGAATAGCTGGATGTGGGGATATCCGTAGCATTGAATAAGCCATCTTCTAACATTCTTGGCAACAGTGACAACATGGCTAGAATTGAAGCCGATAGAGCGTGAACTGGAGAATGGACGAATAATATCCGTTTCTCCAACAGGATGCATTTCAGCAGAACCAAAAGACGATGTCGAAAAAGGAGGAGTAAGTCTATAACCTGAACAGATATGGCACGGGTTATTTGTCGACAGGATAGGACGTTCCTCAATATTTACTCACTTTCAAACCGAAGAAGAGCTCAGGAGAACGCAACATCTCCGGGCTTAGGCGGAGGTTCAGGTTTCGAAAGAGCTTCGGGAATTCTCCAACTACTGAGAAGTCCCCGCCTTTCATGTAGTGATCCGCGACTTCCCAAACATGGACCCGGATATGACCAAAAAGAGGCAGTCGGCTGATCACGCAAATTGCTTTCTGCACTGAACTTCTCGTGATATCCTTCGTCGGATTCTTTACATCCTGGAATCACATCGAAAACCTCCCAGTCAGAATTATTGAGTCACACTTGGCTCAAGAACTCACCTGTGCTTGTATTTGGCGGTAGCACGATATGCAGAACAATGCCTTCCCAGGTTCTTCGAGGCTAGGAAGGTGAAAATATATGATGTCCCATTCGAAATTGTGCGCTCCGTCTGGTATTGCTAAAGATGGCATGTGTCGCCATAGCTCAGGCACCTCAATGATGTCCGAGTTTTTGGATAAAGGGGGAAACGCATATTCCACTACGGCCCCCTTCTTATGATGAAAGCCCACGACCAATACATGCTGAATTACTCGATTGTTTTCCAGTTCTAGAACTGGCTGAAGTGTCATAATGACCACGCTACTGAATTCAAGGCATAATGGCCAAGTTCCTCAAGAACCTTCAAAAAACAGACATTTGTTTCATTTACACTACCCGACGATGCAATCAAAACAAAATAAATCAACGTTTCCACATTCAGTTAAATAAGTCACCGAAAGATCAGTCATGACCAGAACACGAAGCTTCAGCAGGGCCACTACTCGGATTGTCAAAAGCCCACTTAAAATGTCAACTTGAATCAAAAATCTTAACCTCCTCCCCTGCACCCCTGAGTGACCCAAGCAACTAGCACAACACGTACGGGACCGCGAATGAAATTAAATACAGTACGGTACAGTAATATGCGTCAGTTAAGTCCGGAAGGTCAAAAGGAGTTTCGTTCAGACAATTTCATCTGATACTAGAAAGCTGTACCTTTTTTTCCTTTTAATTATCTTACGAAATAGTGGCTTCGATTTTAAAATTGAGGGACATTGACAGGTAGTGCTCGCAAGGAATCGTGGACCAAATGGTCTATATCGTGCTCTTGATTACCATATCAACATTCGGTATCAAGTGACATCTTGTTTGAAAATATGTAACTTTTCTAAAAAGTTTCATTTTCTACTTTGTAGTTGTCAGTAAAATTTAGCACGAATTCAAAATTTGTCGACCGGCTTTCTCCGAAAATCGGTCTCTCACAAATGTTACATGAGTGGTTTTGCTAGCGAATTTCCACCTTCAGAGACGGAAATTTTTGCCACGCGCATTTCTCCGTGCACTGAATTCTAAAGAAACATCGGTTTTGTCGTTTCTGACTTCGTCTGTTGTGTATTCTAATTACAGAACAGTTAGGTAGAGTACAGCACCAATTGCAAAGATGGCTGTGAATATACTGATTACCAAAGTGCTTCTTTTACAGTTTTCCTTCATGCGTGCACAGCACAGTACAGTATTGTATTCCTAAACAAGACTTTATCTGGTCCTTATCTTCTTATTAGAGCTCAACATCCTTCTGAAGCCAGAAGATCAGATTTTGCTTGACTTTCTTCTGAAGTTACTTGTTGTATCTTGAAATTTAGAAAAAAATGCAACTTTTGTGGGACTTTATTCCTAATTTTTAATAAATAGGACGAGAACCAATCAAACATGTTCCCATTGAAGTCTGTCGGCAAACATGTTCCAGCATCTACGTACTGTACTGTGTTCTCCAAAATGGGGATAAGGCCCAAGCACAAATCAAGTCCACACCTCGGGGTCCCACTGTTAAATCTATAAATATTTTATATTACAGTATTAAGATTAAGCAATATATATAGCCGCATGTCATTGCAAAATAAATGCTGATGATGTGCTCAGGAATTCAGGATGCCTGCTGTATGCAAACCTATACATAATCCCGTTCTTCGAATCCTCTTCTCTATTATTATGCTTCTCTTTGCGGCAACGACGATACTGTACTTGTGAACGCATCAATAAGTTGTTGGCGTGAGCTTCATCAAGTGAGTGCAGTGAAGTGCGCTGGGTTGCGCCTTGAATCTCATTTGGAGCCCTTCGGATCGACTTGATGTGGACGAGTTCCAAATAGCCTGTCAGCAGGGAGACAACACAGCATGGAAGGGACCCATCAGATTGAGTCACTTGGCCGGCTGCTATGCAAATTTCGGGGCGCGAAACTGCATAATTAATTGAGATAAGGATCCGAGTTCCAAATAGCCTGTCAGCAGGGAGACAACACAGCATGGAAGGGACCCATCAGATTGAGTCACTTGGCCGGCTGCTATGCAAATTTCGGGGCGCGAAACTGCATAATTAATTGAGATAAGGATCCGAAGCGGCCCTGCGTTAGGTTCTTGATGCATTCCGGTTTCCTTTGCTGAGCGGTTTTCGCGGGTATCTTTTAGAAACTATGGGGCTTGCGTGATTGTCATGTGACAAAAAATGGCCCTTAAAAAAGGCAATTAAATACTGTATGTCGTCACTCGTACGTAGTGAACCACATTTCGTACCAGCAGGTTTTGAATTTGTATCGTTCCAGTCATTTTTGCCCAAATAAGCATTTTTGAATGTTGAGCGGAATCCCAGATAAGCCTATATAAAAACCGATATTCCGGGAAATCATAAAATAAATAGGGCTCTAATTTTATAAAATTCTCGAATAGATTGAGGCACGGATTCTTTTTTCGCTGGATGCCTTTGATATCAATGATCATGAACGAAAATAGGAAGATCTCTTATTAAGATGTAAGATAGTAAGAATACTGAATAAAATTATGTATAACCTCACTCATGCGCAGTCTTAGTAATGTGTTTTTTGCCAATATCCACTCTAAAAATTCATGAAAATAATGCTTATTGAATTGTTTAAAATATACATTTTAAAAACTTTTATTTGTAAGGAATAATAATGAGCATGTCAAAGAGAGAAAATTACTTCATTCAAGGGTCTCTGGATTTTGTCTCCCAACTTGGTTTCATAATTTTTCCAGACATTCACTGCTCATTTCTTGAACTACCCATAATAAAACTTGAAATTAAAATAAGATTCTGAAATTCTAGAAGACATCGTAAATTTGCAAACAGCACTTGGGAAGTCGAAAATTATACGTTTGTAATTGTGTTTGTGGATTCTGGTAATTTTTTCCAAATTTTAGAAATATGCTTGCGACTGCATTATGAGAAAATAACATTTTCTCGAGATATGGCACAATTGCAGCAGTTCTGTTGCTCGTGTGTTAAAACGTTTCTAGAATAAATTGGAGCATTTTTAAAAAACTTTTTCACGATATCTGGTGATTTGTAATTTTCATAGTGTGAATTCTCATTCCTTCTGTATGAGTCTGGACGTGCTGTGGAGATTGAACTGGCAGCCGAAGCAGCAGTAAAGTCAGCAAGCTTCTGTGACGATCCAGAAGAAATTGATCAGAATGGAAAAAAGAGTCTGACATTCGAGAGGAAAATCATCATTATTACCTGTTCAGGGATAAATAATACTGTACCACATTTGCGTCACACAATATTCAGATGCTGAATACAGAGTTCGTGATTATTTTTCGAGCCTGCCTGTGTATCAATGTGTTCTTCCCGCCGCCGCTTTTTCTCGCAGCAGTGGTCAGTTTTAGATTAGATGACCCAAGCCTTTTTTATCATCACATTCAAATTGCAAAGGCTGGTAAATTTCGCGGGTGCGAAGGGCTGAAGCAATGACTACAGGAATCAATCCTCAAATGAGCAAATAAGCAGATTCTGCAGAAGGCCTCATTATCAGATGGATTCGGCGGACCCCAGCGAGAGAGGTACAGGATGTCATATAACGAAGCGCTGGACAATTCTCCACCGCGTACGTCGCCTCGCTAAAGTCTTACCGAAGGCTTACGCTGTGAGAGTTGAAGATAGGGGGTAGGGTCGTCAACAACTGTACTGTATATACAGCAAGTATATACGTATAACTCGCGTCACCAAACTCCCGAGATCCATTTGAAATTCTCACTGAACCAGAAAACACAGAGCCCGCTTTGTGCAACTTCAGAGTAATGCAGACGTGCGTGGGATAAGCTGATGCGGGGATGGGTGTTCCAGCACCGCCATCTCACTTCTCAGAGGGGTGGTGGGGGGGTATCAGGGTGTGGAGGCATAACAGTACCTTGACAAAGGGTATTTTCAAAATTTGCAACATCTTCGTTTTTATTTACCTTTTTAATTATTCCATTTGCTTCTGCCCTGTCCCCGCCGCGATCATTTTGTGGCAAATTACCGTGCCCGTGTTATTTGCTAAATTACAGTTCTTTTTCTCAAAACTTGGCCTGTGTTGGGATCCAGACCATCAAGAGAGTTTGCTGCGTTGTTTAAGTTATTTGTGAGTACCGGGACATTTGAAAATGAGCAGTAAAATTTATTCTTGCCCTTAGCTTTCCTTAAAATGATAGAATTCATTTTCCCCTCTTTTTCTTATGTTAAGGAATGTTTTTCGTCTTTAGCATCCTGAAGAAAAAAATCAGGGTGCGTATTTTCACTCTTTGTTTAGATGTACAGAGCAGTACTTCTTATTTATTTTATTTGCGCGGTGATGCGAGATTTTTCTGCACTAAAAATTCCTATCGTTCCTGGCATTAAAATTATCTAAATTGGAATCAAGCCGCTCTTCAGAGAAGGTAAGCTAAAAATTGCACGACACGTTCATCAAGTTAATTATACAGTAGAATATTGTTATACAACGAAGCTTTTTTGACCTTAAAAAAGCTTCGTTACAATCGAAAATTTGCTAAAACGAAAGTAAAATAACATTGGGGCAATTGGACAGTGACAAAATAAATTAAGCATTATTTTGTTAAGAGATTCGTTGTAACAAGATTTTACCGCATTAGGCCCGTCACTTGCATGCATTTTTCCTCAAGTCCGCGATAAAATCATTAAAATTACTTTCCGATGATGAATATCGAATAAAAATCTTCCACAAGTTCAATTTACCTTTAAGACTCAGGAAAAGCTTTGAAGCACTTTCGGGAGCAGCCGGACCTTTCGAAAAAAGGAGCCTAAGCCAACATATAATAACCTCGAACGGTGAATAGCGAAAGGACGGTGAACCGTCTGCACGGCGATGAATTTCACTTCCCCTAGCTCGGAAATCTCTGCAATCTGATTCACGGCTTTCACGAAACGAGTCCTTCCCTTCATGTATAAAACGAGCACGTACGCATTATACAGAACCATATATAAGTATAAAAGCTTTTCATTTCTTCTTTTTTTTTGTGTGCGATGATACCGTGCAAACTCCTCAGATTACTATGCTCAAATTGGATGAGACTTATACCTAGCGGCGGTAGACTGCTCAGGCTAAGCCGCTCTAGGTTAAAGGTAGAGACAACTAGCGCCTGCTTGAGAACTTTCAACTTACTCCGACACTACTTAACTCACGTAACATTTGTTACTTTTCCTTCATATTTCGCTGCGAATAAGCGGCTTAAGACCATGTGTACAATTTCTTGAATTACATTTAACGATGCACTGAACGCTTGAATAATTTAATCCATAGCTGCTGCGACGAATAATTAAATTATTCGCACCCAAGCCCTCCATCCTGTATAATGAGTCAAAC